TGATTTTATTTGTAAAGAAGCTCATGAAGTCATTGCTGCTGAGATCTAAGGGAATGTAAGAATCGTCTTAAGAATCATCTTCGACAAGACTTTTATTTGATTATTAACTTACCGTGTGGTAAGTTAAGTAAAACATTGGATATTTCCCCCACCACAAAATAAACATTTTTATTTATTGGACAGACAGAAAAAAAACAGAAACAAGTGAAATAAAAACACTAATACAAATATAGGATGATAAGATACATATAACAATGGGAGATGGAAATGAATTCTTATCAGGTCAATATCAAATTTTAAACATACCTATACAGTGACCAATGTGCTGGGATGATTATGGATATAAATACCACCCCCGGAGAAGCTGTAGCGATAAGCAATTCCTGTGCTGGTCGCTGCTGTGATTGTTTTGAAGTGAACCTTCCTCCATTGATCTGTGTCCTGCTTTCCCTTTGAGATTGTTTAGGGGATTACTGCATGTTTTCCAGCGGTGATAACTGTAAGCGTGATCCTGCAGAAGTTGACGTCCATCGCACATGTTGTGTAGGGTGACGTGCAGCCAAGGGGTGACAGCCACTGCTGCTTTGCTTTGCCTTGTTCGCTTGTTTCGTTTTGTGTACTTTTTGTTAAGAAGCTTGCTCTGCCTTATATTTCCTGTTCATTGTATAGTACTCAAGTTTTATGGTGTATGAGTCGTATATAAATGGTTGGAGGTGCAGGGAGGCAAGACCCTCCTATGTTTGGTTTGGACTGATTGTTGTGATGTTTATGTATGGGTCTTTTCTAACCTGTAGACCTCTGACCATTTCTTATTCCTGTTCTGCACTGTATTTATTGAGTGGGGAGTATCTTCTTCTTAACCATAGTATTTTAGCTTCTGGGGTTAGGCCTTTTTTAAACATTGTTCCACTGTTAACTTATTTAGTGACTCAAATCTTTATTTCTGTGGACAAACCCAACGTCTCTGTTTGCAGACTTATCTGTGTGTGGTAACCCAGTACTTGTAGAGTTTGTATGAATCTGACCTCTAGAAACTGGAGGGATAATATTCTTTGAGAGCTAGTAAAACTTATTAGTGTCTGGGTTGCATAGGCCCATATATTGGCCCGGTCACAACACTAACAGGAGAGGAAAATACAAGATGTCACATCAGGGCTACAAAAGGTAGTTTCCCCATAGTGTTGTGGTTAGACTACAGTTGTAGACAAGCTGCAGTCCACCTGATGTCTGAGCAAGATGTGAAGATGGGTTGTTTTGAAGCTTGATTTGTGGAAAGTAGCGAAGCACAAAAGTGTTTTAGCTGCTGGACTTGAAATGTCTGTTAGACACGTTTGACAGTGCAGATGAGAAATCAAGGGCAGGCTGTAAGTGAGAAAATCCTGTCAGAGTTACAGTATACGCTTTCTAACTGACCGTAATACAGCTCGTCCCATGGACGCCTGCTGTAGAGAGATTATGAATGTGAAAAGGGAGTGATTTCAGACGGTGTCTTGAAAAGAGATTCAGCAAATTCTGATTATTTCTTCTATAAAAATGTGAATTTGATTGTTCAGCTTCAAGTGTTAGAAGTGAAATCCATGCAGACTTCCATCATCAAAATAAGAAAGGAATAAGAGCTTTCCTGGAGGGAGGGTAGTCCTCAAACTTCTCTTGGTAGTTTCTGCAACAGATACAAAAGAGGTTTGTGTTAAGATGAGCTGAGAGAGCAACAGAAAGTTTAAAATAACTGGCAATTATTGTGAAAGTTGGTCTTTCAGTCATTTCCAAGCAAACATCTCAAACATCCTCTAAAAACATTACCTGCAGTTTGACTAATTTGACTTTTTCAAAACAAATCAATCAAGAAAATAATTAGCAAATAATCCTTAATAAACATAACATCTGGTTTCAGCATTATGGTCATGCTTAATGAGGCTAATCACCTCCAGGTTTTATACACTGTTTAGCTCCAGCTCAGTTTAGGTGAAAATGATCCTTTAAAAAAAAGATCACTTTTTTAAAAAGCTTACGTAAGCCAACAGAAATGACCTTTGAAGTGTGCGCATCCTAAATACATTATAATTTGAGGGAAAGCAAATCAGAGCTACCTGTGGTGATGCTAACAAACCAGGATGTAAAGGTACCTGTGGTGATGGCAGGCTCTGGGCCCGATGAAGCAGATGGTGTGGAAAGCGAAGGCGAAGCTCGGTAAGGACCACGCTGCTATAGCATAACCACACCACTCCACAATCTCCCCGAAGAAGTTGGCACCGGACACAAATTCAAACATTCCACCTGAAACAAAAAGTCCAGCTCAGCAGCAGATTAACAGAAAAGTGTTGGTGAGTCAGAGGTTTGGCTCTTTGCAGCTGATCTTGTGCGAGTCTAGATCAAGTGTGGATCAAATCTAGTGTTAATCAGGATCTAGCGTTATTTAGGTGCTACTCTCTGAGAAATATGGCAAAATCTATATTTTTCTCACTGGAGTCAGTCTCTAGAAAACAGTTGTTCTGTATTCATCAGATCGGTCTCCCCAGCTTTTTCTCACACTGACACAGACCCAGAGTTGGCGGTTACAAAGTCAGCCTGCCTTCTCATCCCTCCCAGGATCCCTGTAGCAGGAAACAAAGGTTCTTGATCCACACCAGATCAGACCCACACTAGATCCTGATGCACACCAAATCTGATCCACACTAGATCCCAATTCACACCAGATTTGATCCACACTAGATCCCAATTCCCATAGAACCCGATCAACATGAGATCCTGATCCACACCAGAAACTCGTCCAAACCAGATCTGATCCTCATCAAATCCTGATCCACGTAAGAACAGGCTTTTAGTTGATTCTCTGGGTTTTATACTGGATAGAAATCACTTAAAGTACTTATTTGTTCTGACTCAGCTGCAGTTTTATTGTCTTTAATTGGAAGCAGGCTTAGATCTGGACCAGACCTTATTGAGATTTTAATTTCTTTGTTTAGAGTTGAAAGTTGGGATGTGAAGTCTGACTGTGCTGGGTTCCTGGGCATACTGGGGTTACAAGTACTGAAACTGTAGACAGTATTGCAAAGTCAGCTTTAAAGCAAGAAGAAATAGATATTAAATGTCCTTGTGGGATCTTCTCCTAGCCTCAGATAAAGTACTTCTCTCCATACTTGTCCTCTTAGATCTCAGTGCTGCTTTTGACACCACTGATCACAGCATCTTATTACAGAGACTTGAACATGTTATTGGGATTAAAGGAACTGCACTAAGTTGGTTCAAATCTTATCAGAAAGATTCCAATTTGTTGATGTTAATGATGAATCTTCCGGTGAGCGGCGAGGACTATAAATGCACTGTGTCTTCCCCTCAGTCCCTTTGGCATGTCCCAACTCGCACATGCACTCACAGCCTGACCCTGCCTTCATCCACAGAGGAGCAATCCTGAACTTAATCTGGCGCTGATATGCAATGTTAGTTTATTGTTTTTGTTTTGATTTTTAGCAGTAGGTTATATATTTATTATAACCATGTGATGCACTACTAAGAACTGGGAGAAACAGTATTTCATTTTTCCCATGTATGTAAGTACTAAGGGAAATGACAAAGTGAATCGTGATCAGATCTGGTGTGGGTCAGGGTCTGTGTACCGTGGGGGATCCTGTAGACGATCTCTCCGGGTTTCCTCAGGTTGCGCAGGATTTGGTCACTGTGGATGTTGATGCCCATACCACAAACAAACAGAAGAAAACCTGCACACACACAAACAGCAGTAATTACGCTTTAGTCTCAACTCAACTTTATTTTTATAGCGCTTTACCACAGCACAGATGACCAAAGCACTTAACATATCATACAAATATAAAAACAACACATAAAAAGCTATAAACAATAATATAAACACTAACACCACGGACAGAGTGTCATTCCTGGTCAAACGCCAATGAATAGAAGTAGGTCTTCAAATAAGACTTAAAAGTGGACAGTGAGGGGGCCTGCCTAATATAAAGAGACAAGGCATTCCATAGGTTTGGACCTATCACAGCAAGTCAACTTATAATGTTCAGTTTTGTTGTTAAGCACTCTGTTAGCATTGGTTGAGCATTATATTCAGAGGTGTTCCTAATATTTTGACCACCCTGTGTATGTGAACAGGTGAGGACAAAAACCTGTCAGGGAAGCTATAAATATGGCTCCCAGAGAGAACCAAGAAACAGGGGAGGCAGAGAAAATGGCAGAAAAGGCTGGAGGAGAGAGAGAAATTATTATTAAAATGCTATGGCTGAATGCTTAGAAAGTTAAGCTTTTTACAAGTAAGGATAATCATAAGATGATTTATGTGTGTGTTTGTTGAAATAATCATTAGAGAATGTGTAAGAATAAAATGTGAAATGATTGTATTGGAAGAATGGAGAGTTCTGTCACGGCTGCGGCCGGAGGCTCTGTCCGGTTGACCGTCTGACTTCCAGGAGACCAAGGACTGCGGAGGGGCAGTCCAGGAAGAGCTCCCCGCTGGGGGTGCTCCCCCACAGGCTGTTCCAGCCTGTAGTTCCCTTGAGGCATATGCTGACACGTGGTTTTCTCTCAATTGGTTTATGAGAAGTCTTCTCTCCCAATTCACCGTGAAAACTAAACATACAGTTCGACAGATTAGCATAACATAAAAGCTAACATGCATGGCACGGGAACAATAATTTTACCAAAATAAGTACAGAAAACACAAATACCTCTTTGGCTGCATTGCCACGAAAGAACAACTTGGTTCTTGCTCCTGTACATATTTTTTATGATCTTCTTCCGCTTTAATGTTCATAACGATGAGTGCCAATTTCCCAGACGAACGTCTACGCTTGTGATAGCTTGAGCCTCTGGCTCGAGGATCCTATTCACGCTAGAGCAGCTTAGCGTGACTTGTACCTAATACTGACATTCAATGTAATAGTACTAAAGGAAATAACTAAAACAACTTAAATTTCAAATTATGCCTTGTAAAAACAATAAACAAGTAGACATAATTATGTACAGTAATGATAACCGTTACACTCCCACCAAATCACACAATATTAACATGAGATTTCTCTAAACGCAACCAGAGCAACATCTGAGGGTTTAAGGAGGTAGCTGCCACAATAAACTGCAGGTTGTTGTTATCTGGGAGGTTTGGGGTCTTATCCTGAACTAATAACATGAAAGAGGGAGGGCTGCAGGGAACTCTGTTCACAGGTTCATGGTAGTCAATTACTGAGTGAATATCTCCGTCATACAACCTCAAGCAGTGTTTGGAGCTTTAATATGTTTCAAATATGCCACCTTAGTGTGAGAGGTAAACTTTATTCCTATGTCCAGGGGTTAGCATATCGTGGCCTTCATACAAACTGGAAGGATAAGGATAATAACCTTTATTGGCCAAGTACGCTACACGCAAGGAATTTGTTTCTGGTACAGAACCGAGGCAGCCATCTGTGGTGCCAACTCAACCAATGGCTCTAACCATCGGGGGCAACTTTGGGGTTCAGTGTCTCGCCCAAGGACACTGACATGTGGACTGCAGACACTCTGATTCGAACCTCTAGCTGGGAGACGACTGCGTTACCCACTTCAGTCGCCCCACTGAAGCTTTATTTTATTGCATCATGTACAACAAAATTTAGTTTGGAGACAAGGGCCCCGGGCTGCTGCATGCATATGCGATCATGGGCAACTTGGGGGGTTCAACGTCTTGCCAAGGACACTTTGACATGCAGACTGCAGGCACCCAGATTCGAACCTTCATCCTTCCGGTTGGGAGACAACTGCCCTACCCACCACACCACTGTCGCAGAGCAGCTCCCAGTTCAGCAGCACCTTCTACTATGAGCGCAGGAACAGCCACAGAACTGAATTTCTGATCATGAAAACTTAGACTTTGTAAAGCTAGCAATGAAGGCCGAGCTGTTTGAAGTGGATTAGTCCCTTGGTCACATCTCAGCTGACAAACATTTCCTCTTATGGCAATGAACGCCCTTAAGGCATTGAGAAATGCATCAGTTGTCATGTCGTCTATCACCTCATTATGTATAGCCCTTGAACATAGACAGGTAAGCAAGAGACCATATTTTTTGAGATCTTTCTTTCCTTCTGTAACATAAATTGGACTAAAGCAGTCTATGCCAATGTAGGTGAAGGGTGGAGTCATTTCCATCCTGTCTTGTGGCAAGTCGCCCATTTTTTGCTCTTCAATACGTCTTCTGTACTTTCTGCAATTGACACATTTGAAGATGTGTGATGAGACTGCGCTGCTGCATCCTAGGATCCACCAACCATTAGCTCTAAGTTCATTCACTGTCATTCCATGTCTCTGATGATGTACCTTTTCGTGCAAGTGCTTGATTAGTAAGGCTGATATGGGGCTGTTCTTTGGGAGTATTGCTGGGTGCTTTATGTGTGGATGCAACATGGCTTGACTTAGGCGTCCTCCCACCCTTAGAATGCCTTCTTCATCCAGGAATGGACTTAACTTGTACAGCTTTCTTTGGTTTTAGAAACTTCTCTCTTTAACTTCAAGCTTCTTATCTCATCTGGAAAGGCTTCTCTTTGAGTTAGCTTGATGATAGCAAGTTCTGCTTCTTTCCTTTTGTCTAGACTTGTGCTTCCACTGGTTTACAGGTGTACCTAATAAAGTGGCCACTGACTGTCCACAGATTTTGGAGAAATGTAACTTAAAGGATGCATCAGGTCAGTGAAAATGATGACACAGTCTGAGGTTTGAAAGTCTGTCCCACTTCTGCTACTATGTCTGGTTCTTGTGTTGGCATGGTTTTACTGCAGCACAAGTGCTTTATCAGCCCCCCTGAACGTCCCATGTGCCCTGTGAGTCACACACACTGAGCCATGTCCTGCACGCCTCAGGTCAGGAGGCCGAACCAGGACCACAGACAGACACAGCAGGTCTGGAGTCTTTAGTGTCATGACACTGGAGAAATGAAAAGATGGTGTTTGCTCAACACAGATAGTTTTCAAATGGAACACCTTTTGGATCTGGACTCTATTACATGAAGGAGCCAGAGGAACGGTTCACATTTGAAAGAAGCTAACTGAAAACTGAAGGATGTGCTTTTGTGCATGACACTGAGACTCTAGCAAAGTGTAGCATCTGCCTGCTGAAACATAAACCACAGGCAACGGCACAGAACTGGTGTTGCTGCTTTTAGCTGCAGGTTTAATGATAATCGATGCAGCTACAGAGTTTGTTAAAGACAAATCTGTTTCAAATGTTATTTTCCTACTGACACTTTAGAACCTGACAACAAAAATCGCATCCAGAGGCAAAGCTACAACAAAAGAAGACTTCTTCTTGATATGGGTGTGAGGACCTTCTAGTTTCTTTATGCTCAACTACAACTCCCATGGTGCATTTCACTAACAAGCATGCAGTCATGGATCTGCACATCAGAATAGTCTGGCAACTGCTCTTACTACCCTTGATCAATCAGAGAATTTCTGTGGGCAGTCCAATAATGATCTACCTTCATTTCTCTTGCTGACCTACGAGCACATTGTACCAGAAACAAATCCCTTGTGGGTTTAAACATACTTGGCCAAATAAATGTGATTCTGATTCTGATCAAACTCCTGATTTCAGACTGATAAACCTGTCCTCGGGTTTCATTCTGCAGGAATCTCCTCTAGCTCTGATGAACTCTGAGCTGGTCACCGAAAGAAAACTCTGAAGGTGAACTGGTGGAGGCTGTGATGACCCACCTGTAGCCAGGCGAGCGTCCACCAGCCAACCAAACCGTTTGGCATCATTGTTAATGTAGCCAAGAACTACTGTGGAATCTGTCCAAAAGAACTCTTGTAGATCTGGGATTTCCAGCTCATTTCACCAATTCGAACTGCAATGACTGCTGCAGAAAGTTCAAGTCTTGGTATAGTTGTGAAGCCAAATAAATGTGATTCTGATTCTGATCAAACTCCTGATTTCAGACTGATAAACCTGTCCTCGGGTTTCATTCTGCAGGAATCTCCTCTAGCTCTGATGAACTCTGAGCTGGTCACCGAAAGAAAACTCTGAAGGTGAACTGGTGGAGGCTGTGATGACCCACCTGTAGCCAGGCGAGCGTCCACCAGCCAACTGTCCTCAAACCGGCCACAATGCAGCAGGTGGTGTCCTTGCATAAAGCCGTTGAGTGAGCAGAAGATGGTGGCACTGAGGACGATGCTCAGGGGGACTGGTCGTCCTCTGGTCAGGGTGCCATAGATAAAACTCCTGAAGAAGAGAATCAAGTCACATCCTGGTGGGTTTTTATCCCACTTCGTGTGTGTGTGTGTGTGTGTGTGTGTCTTTGTCCTCCAACATGGCTGTTAACCAATTTCAAAATAAAAGACCTACTCTCATCACAGAAGGAGTCTACACACGTTTACATTGTCACACTTCTTGAACAACAGTCGGTGCAGCGACTGGAACCATTTACTGTTGGTTGTTCTATTTGACTGAATTACTAAAGAACAGCCACCTCAGCACTGGGAGTAAATAATTAGCTCCTGAAACCAACAGGCAGTGTTCACATTCCTCTGAGTCAGTCTGGATTTGATCTGACAATCATCACGTTGTGTTTTGGCAGTGTTGCAGACTGGTTTCACTTCAGCTGTGGTTTGTGCCGACAGATAAACATGTCTGTGACATTTACGGTGCCATCCTACTGTGGAGGCATGGGGGAAGGGTGTCCCTGCCTCTCCAGCTCATCCCAACCATCAGATTCCGGTGATATTTTAATGCTGATCCTCGTTTACTTTTACTCTGTGTCCATCTGTGGTGTTTTGTGTTGCAAAGCTGCTGTTCTTCATGACAGCTGGTGGTCACACAAAGTCCACAGCACCAGGAGAAGGATGTGGGCCTCACAGCTACATACAACATCTGCTAAATATGCAAGCCTACAAGTCAGCCTACAGATGGGAGGCTGAGCAGCTGGTCCTGTGGTGTAGCCGCAACAACCTGGAGCTGAACACGCTCAAAACAGTGGAGATGACAGTGGACTTCAGGAAGAGCCCCCCCCACCTTACCCCATCACCATAACCTTGGCAGTACTGTATCAGCAGTAAACTCCTTCAAGTTCCTGGGCTCCACTATCTCCCAGGACCTGAAGTGGAGGTCCAACATCAGGACCATCACCAAGAAGGCACAGCAGAGGATGTACTTCCTGTTGGTTGGACACAACAAGACGTGTGGAGACACCACCTTTGGTTCTGGAGAGTCACAGTGGGACTTTTTCCCCAGTGTTTGACATTCTGGGGATAAACGGATCTGTTATGGTTTTGTTCCCCTCACCAGGAGGGTGAGGGACAACTGGGGTTGGACTCAAGATGGCTGACCCAGGTGCTAGTACAAAAAAGGTGGTTTAATGGAATAAAAAAAACGTGACAACAAAACAGGGTCCATAATACATACAACAAGGGAAGGGCAGTGATGACTAAGGAGACCAGCACAGGGACTGTCAGCGTGGAAGACAAAGCACGTATTTAGGTATTGCTAACCGCATAATTAGCGTGATAAGGTCAAGCCAAAACGCACAGACTGTCAGTGTAGCATCTTACACACGTCTAAAAATGCGGGTCAAACATAAACTTTTAACTTACATAGGGTACGTCTTGTCCGTTACATGCCGCAATGCTCCGGCGACCACGGGTCATCTACCAGAGGTATAAATAAGGAAGCCAACAAATCACCGGAATACGCCTCAGGTGTGCGCACCGACCCACGAGTCACTAATTACCCGATGCGACACAGCTGAGGCGTTGATCCCGCAAAAAGGGAGAGCAGGAGAGGAGATAAAGAAAGAGAGGCAGGTCGGGCCGAGCGGACCTGACAGGATCAATCAGATGATGACCTGATTGATCCGTGATTGATCAGTGACCCCGCTGGTTGGGTTTCCAGTCAGTCAGGAGGCTCCACTCGCTTGTCACCATCTGTCCACAGGCTCGGCATCATGTCAGATTGGTACTGTGTGTGACAGTGAGCCAGGTATTTGACAGAAGGCCTTTCCTACCATCTGACTCAGGAGAGTGCTCTGCTGTTTGTTCACTGTACATCTAATCTGGTTACAAGCTTAAAATAGAACCTAATCGAATACCTTTATTGTCATTGCACAGTAGTACAACACCATTTACTGTACATTTCTGATACTTGCAAGTTATAAAATACAATAAATGAAAGATCAATAATAAAGTGATAAAACATAACGCCCCATTGCTTCCTACTGCGTGATACCTCTGTATAGTAGTTTCTAGTGTCTTTTAGGCTCTTTCTGTTTTTAAATGTAATTGTCGTGGCTAGAGTGTGATACCGACTAAATTAATTCAGACAAACCATCCCAATTTAAAGGATCATTTAATATTACAATTATCCTGAACATTTAAACAGATAATCTTGTAGTTAGGAAAACAGAGATTCTCCTCCTGCAATGTGATAGATAAAGCATTAAACAAGATGATTGTCAGGGCGCCAGTCAGTTCATAGTCTGTCAGTCAGTCAGTCAGCCCACAGTCAGTCAGCGTCTCCCTGGCCAGGTCTGAGCTCACTCAAGGCTGCCACACCATCCTTAATTCTTCTCCTTCTCTTGGCCAGCTACCCACACACACCTTCTTCCAAGCATTGTCTAAACTGTCCAGTACATGAACTTCTAGGTCACATTGACCTGGCGCACATTTCCTTTTTCTAAATCTGAACAGAGCACACGAACAGTTCACATAAGGCTACAGCTACAGTATATCCATTCCCTATCTGAGGAGGAAGTCACTCGGGATGTTGACCCATAGGCTAAACAAGGGGGACACAGCCCAAGATATTCTTGCCTGATCCAGAAACAGATCAAGCTTCCGTACACACTTAGCTCAGCCTTACATCCTTACACAACTACTACAAATAATATCCATATATTATTTATATAGAACTACATACTGTTCTATTACATATTACCTCTGGAACCTTGTTTATTATTAACCACTACATAATTTTTACTTTTTTCTCTTTGTAGCTATATAAATACAGTGAGGAACAGAAGTATTTGAACACCCTGCGATTTTGCAAGTTCTCCCACTTAGAAATCATGGAGGGGTCTGAAATTCACATTGTAGGTGCATTCCCACTCTGAGAGACAGAATTAAAAAAAAATTCAGGAAATCACATTGAAAGATTTTTAAAGAATTTATTTGTCTAGCACTGCTGAACATAAGTATTTGAACACCTGAGAAAATCAGTGTTAATATTTGGTACAGAAACCTTTGTTTGCAATTACAGAGGTCAAACGTTTCCTGTAGTTCTTGACCAGGTTTGCACACACTGCAACAGGGATTTTGGCCCACTCCTCCACACAGATCTCCTCTAGATCTGTCAGGTTTCGGGGCTGTCGCTGAGCAACGCGGAGTTTAAGCTCCCTCCAAAGATGTTCTATTGGACTGAGGTCTGGAGA